TCACATCCCTTTCAATCTGTTTTCAGTAAGTGGTCACTGGGTTTGAAGCAGCATAATCATTTTTCCCTTTGTAGTACAAATCAAGCTGCTGATGTAGTCCAATTACCAATAAGTTACTCATCTATTTATAGGGATGACAGTGTTGCTTGGCAGATACAGCTGAGGAGAAATAGCTTATTTATTTATAATGATATAAAGACAGTCTCTCGGGAACAAGGACTGTCTTTAGAAATTGAAATATTACATCAGGGAGATGAGCAGGTATTTCATATTTTTGACATCTTAGGCTTGAATCCCAGTTTGAGAGACAATTTTCCTAGGAAAATAAAGGTAAGTTGTTCAAAACATGGGATTCTGAGATGATAGAAAGGTCTTGATCTCACTATACTCCCATTATTCTGAATACATCTTATTATTCTGTGTCTGGTGTTTGCCAACTGATGTCTGTAAAATGATACAGAACTTTGCAAACCTGTTGATCAGATGAACACTCAAGATATCCCCATTACATGGAATATGCTATCAAACTAGGTGTCTGGAGAAAAAAGGGATGGAGGAAATATAGGGTAATGAGATGTAATGGTCACATTGTTCTCAGGCAGCAGATAATTCCTGCAGTTACAAATTCCATGTTTTTAAAATGGTTGTTACGCTTATTAACTAAGCAAATATATGCCAATAGTTTTGCACATCATCTATGCATATGGCTCAGCAACTTGTACTGGGTTCTCAAAATAAGAAAAAGACTTGGCTGGGCATGGTGGCTCATGCCTGTAATCCTAGCATTCTTGAGAGGCTGAGGTGAGTGGATTGCTTGAGCTGAGGAGTTCTAGAGCAGCCTTAGCAAGAGTGAGACCCTGTCTCTATTGAAAATAGAAAATTAGGCTTGGCGCCCGTAGTACAGTGGTTATGGCACCAGCCATATACACTCGAGACTGGTGGGCTTGAACCCGGCCTGGGCCAGCTAAACGACAATGACAACTGTAATAAAAAATAGCCAGGCATTGTGGTGAGGGCCTGTACTTCTAGCTATCTGGGAGGCTGAGGTAAGAGAATCACTTGGGCCCAGGAGTTGGAGGTTGCTGTGAGCTGTGACGCCATAGCACTCTATTGAGGGCGACATAGTGAGGGTCTGTCTCAAAAAAAAAAAAAAAATTAGTTGGGTGTTGAGATAGGTGCCTATAGTCCCAGCTCCTTGGGAAGCTGGAGCAAGAAGGATCACTTGAGCCCAGGAGTTAAGGTTGCGGTTATGCCATAGCACTTTACCCAGGGTGACAGAGACTCTGTCTCAAGGAAAAATAAAAAGTCACTACTTAAAGATGTCAACTTAAGCAAAAAAAAAGAAAAATCTGAATGTTTTAAGGACAGAGGGGGGAACTCAAAGTTGGAGTAAGGGTGGGAATCACAGAAGAGTGTAATTTCAAAGAGAAGACATCAAGGGGACAGAGGAAGCATTTAGTCAAAAGAAGACACCATGGAATATGACAATCTTCTTCACAAGTTGGTACTGGACATCCAAATTATCTTTAACCAGGCCAGTCTCAAAGTTATAAATCAAATTTACAAAACAGGTTAAGTTAGGGTTGACTGACTCAAGCACAGTGTTATGCTGAATTGACTGAAATAAGCCAGTATGTGCGTATAGTCACATGTATTATTGATAGTTTATTATTTTATAGCTAACTCATTCTCAGTGGTGGTTCCATCTTCATGGAACATCTCAGGATAGATTCTGAGGTCCTAGTTTGACTCAGATTGGAATGAAGGGCTACTGTAGCCCTGGATGTGATAGGTTCCAGTCAGTAAACACAGAAAATGAGGACAAGATATTGCTGGGTTTCAGTTATGTGTGTTTTTCTGTCGTATATCTCACTGAAATATGCCAACAACCTTCCACTGCAATTTTAAAAACCTATTAACCTCAGCCTTATACATCCTCCTTCCACCACCAAATCAATAACACTAAG